GCAGGAAGTATTAGAAAGAAAACCACAGGCCCCAAATGGTGTCAGTCGCATGCTAAAAGCCCATGATGGCAAACCTATATTTTATACGTTACTTCACTGCAGTTCCAACCTCTCCGAGAAATGTAGTTTTAATTGAACAGTCTAGAATTTTCTGGTCAATACCAATAAAGTAACCCATCAGGTAGGCCCTCTACAAGCCCCCAGAGGAAGAGGTAATCTGCATGATAAAACCCCTGTCATCCCTCCCCACCCCCATAAAAAAAGATGTCTGGTCAAAAAATAATCCTTTCTTTTTTTTTGCTAATAGCTCCCTTACTCCACCCTTTTTCCTATAAAATCCCTTCCATTTTTGCACAATCACACAGAGCACCCTTCTAGTTACTAGATGTAATGCTGCCTGATTCATAAATAAAGCCAATCAAATCTTCAAATTTACTTGGCTGAATTTTGCTTTTTAACATAAGGAATATATTTGGGTTTTGTCCAGGTTCCTGACACAGAGCTCCTAAAACCCTTGGAACTTTCTGATAGAAGTGTCTTTTTTATTCATAAGGAGCCCCTATCAATCACACTTCAATTTACACTAATGAGGCAACTTAAGTGATAAACTAAGTGTGTTCCTGAGTTCTGTGAGCAGTTCTTTCATGGGAACCCTCAATTTATTACCAGTTGGTCAGAAGGTTGCCTGGTACTAAATTTCCAGTTATAAAAAATAAGCCTATGACAACAGTAGTTGGTTATTTTGAGCCTAGGATAATAAGAATATTTAAAGAATCATATCCATATAATAGCTCATGACAATGGCTACCATCACTAAAGACAACAGTGTTAGTGGTTACTCTACCCACAGAACCGTGAGCACAATAAAATGGACGCTTTCATAACACTAAGCTTTGGGTGGCTGTCACACAGCAAAAGATAAGCAGAAAAACGAAAATATTATCGGTGATTTTAATTAAAAAGATGAGCTCAACTTTCACTGCAGTTCTAAAGTGAATCGTATGATTCAGACAGCCTTTGCTTGTTGCAGAGAGAAAGAAATAATGTGTCAGTTCATATTTCCTTGGAAAGCTTTTTAAATAAATCTGGCCAATCTAATTAATTTTAAAAATCTCTTAAAATACTGAGAGACCAATACACTATTATGACTGACAAATGAGTTTGAAATACTGGTGTCCCTGACTCAGCCTTCAGGCCATAGCACAAATGTCACTTGTTCCAGCAGTCTTCCCAAGCCCAGGTCTGGCTCGATCCCCTCCTGTGGGCACCCACAGAAGCCCCCCTCTCTCCCCTCCACCCCAGCTCTACCACACAAGATGGGACTGCCTGCTCATCTCTGTGGTTCCTACTGGAGATGAGCAAGGGCTTATCGATCATCTAACGCAATACCCGCCTATGGAGTCACTGAAGTTGCGAGTCAAGGGAAAGAAGGAAGGAGAAATAAGGGAGGAAGGAAAAAGGGGATGTGAAGAGGAGGCAGAAGAAAGGAAAGAGAGGTAAAGGCAAAAGGAAAGGGAGGGAGGTGAGGAAAGAAAGACCCAGAGAAAAAGTAACTATGATGGCAACATACAGAGTGAGAAGAAGAAAGGGGGCTAGGAAGAGCTACAAGAAACGGATAAGCCAGACAGGACTGACCCAGGCTGCAGTCCCAACTCCATATCTTGGTAACTATGTGACTCAAGACTCAGTGTCCTGAAAGGAGGGGCACCAATTAATAAGGGTACAGTCAATGATATAGTTATTTAATTCTACTTTGAAATTTAAGGCAAGTAGTGAGAAAGAACCTTTTAGCTCACAATAATAATGACAGCTAGTAGTTACTGAACATAAAACCCTCACAACACCGTAAGGCAGATTACCTCACAGATAAAGAAAAGGAGACACGGAGGCGGCACATACAGAAGGTGGTAGAACCAGGATGGGAATCCAGGCAATCCGGCAACCAAGTGTGTGCTCCGGTCCACCACGCTCTGCTGCTGCAGCCGGCGAGTTCTCAAGTACTGTTTGTTCCACCAGCTCAACACAAACACGCCATCACCAAAACAGTAACATGACCCACTGCCCAACACGGCTGCTTCATTTCCATCGTTTTTTGGTGTTCATGAACAAGAATGTTGACAAAAACACTTCACCAGACAGCAAACACACTGCTTTCTAGTATATGCATGACTGGGACAGTTAAAACTACAAGCCCTAGAAACTCTCTGTGTCATGTCTTCAACCATAAATTGAATAATAATATATAGAACCTACATCTCATTGGGCTATTACTATATTTAAAAGACAACTCTTTTGATGAGCTCAGCACAGTGCTTAGGTAAGCACTCAAGAACTGTGAGTGATAAGCGGGCAAATGTTGCTACAAATGATTCGGCAGCCATTAAAATGAACAGCACAGGTTATTCTATGGCACAGAAAGTTCATGAATCATTAAAATGAAAAAGGAAGCCAGCTATAAAATAGTAAAAATAGTATGATATCATATCACAACACAAATATATGCAAGTAAAGAGACTACAAGGCAAAGATGGTAAAAGCTGTTATTTCTGCATATTGGGTTTATGGGTATTTTTCTTTATTTTTGTCAGTATTTTCTAAACTCCCTATGACAAACATGTAATCTTTTGCAATAAGAAAAAACATAAGTTGTTAAGAACTTTGGTGCCCTAGGTCTGCTGATAGATAGCTACAAATCCAAAGGTTTATGAGCACTCTTTCTTCACCTGCAAAATGGCAGGAATTAACGTGGTCTCTGAGACCCCTTCCAGATCTAAAATTCTGTAATTTTATGAAATAAACAACTGAAAGAAGTTGAGGAGGAAAAGAAACAACCTTCCCTCTTCCTTCTACTTCTGACACAGCCCAGAAGGACAGCAGAGCTCAACAAGTATCCAGTGACGGGTTTTCTGACTGATTACTAAAGACGTACAGTCATGTCAAGTACCACATTCAGAGAAGTTTAACCCCTGCTGCTTGCACTGGGAAAAAAGTCCAAACTGAGGACCAGGAGAACTAGTTCTAAAATTAGTCCTGGGAGTTCCTGGTGGTCCAGTGGATAGGACTCTGCGTTCTCACTGCCGAGGGCCCAGGTTCAATCCCTGGTCAGGGAAGTAAGATCCCACAAGCTGTGTGGCATGGCCAAAAAATAAAAATAAAAATAGTACCTAAAATTAGTCCTGCCACTATCTCAAGCCTTCTGGCCTTAAGAAGTTGCTTTAAAACCCTGGGCCTCACTTTCTCAATCTATAAAATGGGGGGACTGTGTTCTCAACTCTGGTTCTAAAATAGTATGAACGAGTGAAGACAAAGCAGATATCCTATTGGCATCATCGCATTTCACCACCACGAAGCAAATATGTATTAACTAATATTGGTTCAGTAGACGCTGCTTCAAAAGGAACTCCTGTAGGCATCTGAGAAATTTCTTTGAGAAAATGGAAAAGGATTGATTTTAAAGATAATATATTGCAATGGAAAGCTATTACTTTCCAACGGGGGTAAATATAGACCATAGGTTAACATCCTACTACAAATACAGTTTTAAAAGAAAGTAGGGCTTCCCTGGTGGCACAGTGGTTGAGGGTCCACCTGCCGATGCAGGGGACATGGGTTTGTGCCCCGGTCCGGGAAGATCCCACGTGCCTCGGAGCGGCTGGGCCCGTGAGCCATGGCCGCTGAGCCTGCGTGTCCGGAGGCTGTGCTCCGCAACGGGAGAGGCAACAACAGGGCCGGGCAACTTAAAAAAAAAAAAAAAAAAGAAAAGAAAGTAAAAAAAAATCATCTTCCCTGTGGGAAAGAAAGATTATTTATTACTTAGGAATTCCTCCTTGGATAAGACTTCACTCAAGCAAATAAGTACAATAAAGTCCATTTCTCTTACCCTTCTTCTTTCTTGAGGAAGGGCTATGGTAGGGACACAGAATGAACTTGCCAACATTAACCATGAGAGATCAATGTGTGGAAGAAATGTGTGGGAAAGGGAAAGAGAGGAAGAAAATGAGCTAAAGAAAGGGAGAAATGGAAATGAGTCTCTTTTCAGTAGGGAGAACATGTGATAAGGGGAAATTTCTCAGAGGAGATAAAGAATGATATCCCTATCTTGCACAGTAATAGGTAGATGAATTCTAGAAAACTATGAGATCAGTTTCAGGACAAGCAGTTTGCTGAAATTAACAGAGAAATTCTAAAACCGTAAGGCTTCAGTGACCTGAGGTTCCATGCCAGAAAGCAGGTACAAGGAAGCAGGTCAGCATGATTCAGTTCCTCTGCCTCAGAACAGAACAGCTGTGACGCACTCAGAGGAAGGAAGAAATGAAAACAGAGAACAGTCTCAGGAGCAGGAACAGCTTCTAGGAGCAGAACACTATCTGGGCTTTGGGATTCCAAACAGAAAGAAAAGTAAAACACAGATTCTGTGCGTGATTATAAGGTGGGATACCATCCAGGCCCTGTGCTTAGCGGGAACGAGGGCCCTGTACATGAGGGCAGCATCATGGTCACCGGCAGAGCACAGGTCTCAGGCCGCCTAGGGAATCCTGGGGAAGAAAGCCTGGCCCTGCGTCTCCCAAAGTGCCCAATACATCATGTCAGGATGACAGAATCTAGAAGTTTCAGCCTAAGAGATTCAAAGAATAAAAGAAGGCCACCTATCCCGTACACCAGCAGCCATCCTGGACAGGCACGCTGATTCATCCACGTTTGTCCTCTTCCACGTCCTAAAAGGAATGCAAAGGCCTCACACACTGACTTTAACAATTACTCAGGACAAACCTTTCTATCTCTGGAGAATTATTTTCTCTTTTATTCACAATATTGCTAATGGTGATAATTCAAATATTTAAAAATAAAACTTCAAGGCAGCATAAAATCAAATTTAAAATAAGAGGAATAACTAACATTATTGTAGAAAAAGCATCTATCAATAGTTACATGTTACATAAAGATTACATACCAACAATGCCACGCTCCCTCAAATATATCGTTTTACGCACAAGACTTACCTTTCACATTAGCTCGACTGGTGGGCCTCCCTACATTATTCCTCTGGTGTTTGGTTGACAGACGCTTCCTCTGCCGAGGCGTGCTGGGGGGAGAGGGACCATAAAGGTTCTCTGTATTTGTTTCATCTGAAAAGTCCTCAGGATCAGACTCAGAATTCTTACAAGCTGAATCTCCCAATGCGCACTCTTGTCTATGGAGCACAACAAGCAGAGAAAACATTCAGGAGTGTATGAAGGGAATTCAGATTTCAATTACTTAAAATTTCTTTTAAAAACTCTCCATAACACTTCTCTGTGGATATGTCTCTTCCTCAGCCTTGTAATCTTTCTCCTCTATCTGTACTTGTAGAAACTCATGAAGAGAACATAACGACTGTGTTCCTGCTCTCACCACAAATAAAGAAAACTGATGTGCAGTTCCTGTTGTTTAGAGAATTCTTTCTAACATAAATGAAGTTTAAAACTAAAAACTTAAGGATCAGGGGAAAAAGAGCAAAGGACTAGAAGATACAAATCAACAGAACTAAGCATCACTTACGTGATAGTTGGTGACAAGCTTAACTGCTGAGTGGGCAACTCTTGCCCTGACGTCAGAGTCCCACTGCTTTCGCTTTGTGAAGCACACAGAACAGAAAGCGTGACCTGAGCAGCAAAGCAGAGAGCACTGCTGACATGTGGTAGGTCAGGGTTTCTGCGTTCTCTGATAAATACTACAGGGCAGCACTCAGGTTAGGGAAGTTGAAAACTTCCCTAATATGGGAAAGGAAATAGTCAATCAAGTCCAGGAAGCACAGAGAGTCCCATACAGGATAAATCCAAGGAGAAACACGCCAAGACACATATTAATCAAACTATCAAACATTAAATTGAAAGAAAAAATGTTAGAAGCAGCAAGGGAAAAGTAACAAATAACATGCAAGGGAATCCCCATAAGGTTAACAGCTGATCTTTCAGCAGAAACTCTGCAAGCCAGAAGCGAGTGGCAGGACATTATTTAAAGTGATGAAAGGGAAAAACCTACAACCAAGATTACTCTACCCAGCAAGAATCTCATTCAGATTCGACGGAGAAATTAAAACATTTACAGACAAGCAAAAGCTAAGAAAATTCAGCACCACCAAACCAGCTTTACAACAAATGCTAAAGGAACTTCTCTAGGCAGGAAGCACAAGAGGAGGAAAAGACCTACAATAAGAAACCCAAAACAATTAAGAAAATGGTAATAGGAACATACATATTGATAACTACCTTAAATGTAAATGGATTAAATGCTCCAACCTAAAGACACAGACTGGCTGAATGGATAAAAAAACAAGACCCGTATATATGCTGTCTACAAGAGACACACTTCAGTCCTAGAGACACATACAGACAGAAAGTGAGGAGATGGAAAAAGATATTCCATGCAAATGGAAATCAAAAGAAAGCTGGAGTAGCAATTCTCATATCACACAAAATAGACTTTAAAATAAAGACTGCTACAAGAGACAAAGAAGGATGCCACATAATGATCAATCCAAGAAGAAGATATAACAATTGTAAATATTTATGCACCCAACACAGGAGCACCTCAATACATAAGGCAAATGCTAACAGCCATTAAAGGGGAAATCGACACAATCATAGCAGGGGACTTTAACACCCCACTTTCTCCAATGGACAGATCATCCAAAATGAAAATAAATAAGGAAACACAAGCTTTAAATGATACATTAAACAAGATGGACTTAACTGATATTTTTAGGACTTTCCACCCAAAAACAACAGAATACACTTTCTTCTCAAGTGCTCATGTAACATTCTC